CACCAGAGCCTTGGGTAAGAGGATAGATAACTCCACCTTCAGTTTTCCTCCTTCCGTCTTCTTCCTAGGTAAAGTCTTTGTTCTCTACCTTGGCTAAATCAGCAAGTGTGGATTCAGACTTGAAACTGGACAGGCTTACCTGAGGAAGGAGGGCTTGGACTGTCGTACTTGAGCTGCTTGTTTGGCTGCTGGTCTGTTAGCATGAGAGCCACCACGGAGGGCCTTATCTGGTGCTCAGGCATGGGAAACTAGCACTGAAGGAAATATCATGAGGACTACATCCCTAACTTATATCAGAGGGAATCTGGAAAGCTGGTATTCCATGGCAGGAAAGTTAACTTAACTTTGGTAAGTTAGAGGTAAAGTCCAAGTACATGATCCTGCTTTAAAAATCACTCCCTATAGAAGCAGACATTACAGGGTTGCCGCATTAATTCATTGTTAAGTGAATTAAGCCAAGCACCAAGGGACAAGTACAACATGCATCTACCGAGGTAAGCTTAAAAAAAGCACAATGGACGTGAGGGAAAAACCACTAAATGCATAAATTCCCAGGGCGAGATCCAGGTGCTCAAGCAGGGGTCAGATGAAAATGGCAGCCAACTGCAAAGGAAGGGAAACGAAAAAAAGAGGATGAGGGTAGTGGGAGAATAAGGCAATAAGCCACCTATGTGGAGAGTATTTTTGATGTCTCCACTGGAACTGGAGTGAGGGCCCAGACCTCATCCTGGTGCTCCAACCCATGAGGGCAACGTCTCGGCGTGGAGGAGTGAACTGATAGAGAGGTCTGTGGGCAGCCCCAATCCCAGCTATGTTGACCCCCTCCCCAGAAAAATGCGCTACAGAGGACAACACTAAAGATATAGCCAGGGAGAGTGGCAGGTCTGATCAAACCACACGGGAGCCAACTAAGAGGGAGGGAAGGAGGGAGAGAGAAAGAGAGAGAGAGAGACAGAGAGAGAGAGAGAGAGCCACCTTGGGCACCAAGCCTCCAGGATGACATTCCTGCTGGGAGCAGCCAATACACAGAGGACTGTAGGGCTGGCCCCACCAGGAGACATGATGTCCCCTTACTGACCCACAGCGTTCCAGGGTTCAGCACTGGAGACACAGTTTGGGAATTGTGCCTGGTCTGTACCCCTCACCCTGGGGGTGGTGGGGGTGGCATGAAGGGAGTACAACCGAGCAGCAAGGGGAGTAAAACAACGAAGTCCCTGAGGAATCCCGAAAATAGAGATCTGACTCGGGAGGCAGAGTTTGGCATCTCATCAGATCTGATTGGAAAACATTCATAAGGATCAACAGACACCTGGAACTATTTATAGGCTTTTGTTCTCTCTCTTCTTCTGTCTATCTATCTATATAAGACAGACAGGATAAACAATCCCCAGGAGAAAACCACAGGACCAACTGTTCCAGGGAGGACATGGGAGAGGAGGAGGGGGGAAAGGGAGTGGGGAGCCAACAAACTCAGGGACAAGGAACCAACAAGAGATCTAATTTTAGATGAAGAGGAGGGCGTAGAATGCCTGGCGGGGTTTGACCAAATGCAATGTAGCCGAGAGGAATGATGGAGAGCCGAATGAAGGTCGAACATGACCGTGAGACAGAAGGAAAGTAAAAGGAAATGGAGGAAAGAACTAGGAGGCAAAAGACATTTATAGAGGTCTAAATATAGGCATGCATATATGTAAATATATTAATATATAACGACAGGGATATAAGTCTATGTACATATATTCATAGGTTAAGTATTAAGGTAGCAGACAGGGTCTGCAGGGTGGCCCCAATCCTAGATGCGTTGACCCCCTCCCCAGGAGAATGCACTGTAGAGGACAACACTGAAGATACACCCAGGGAGAGTGGCAGGTCTCTACCCAAGTCCTCCCTCAACACAAGAACCCTTTGTTCTAATAACCTGGCATTCTGTGATGCTCACCTTCCCAGCATGATTGCTGAAGACAAAACGGGTGCATAAGCAAAGGTGAAGAAAGCTAATGGCACCTGGCTATTAGAAGACATAGTGTCTGGGGTCTTAAAGGCTTGAAGTTAAAGAAGCGGCCATCTAGCAGGGACGCAACAAAGCCCACATGGAGGAAGCACACCAGTCTGTGTGATCATGAGGTGTTGAAGGGATATCAGGCAACAGAAGACCCAAAGCAAACAATCATATCGATGTGAATGAGGAGGGTTGGAGTGGAGACCCAAAGCCCATCTGTAGACAATTGGACATCCCCTCACAGAAGGGTCACAAGGAAGGAATGAGTCGACCTTGGTGCAGTATAGCACTGACAAAACACACAACATTCCTCTCTCTTTTTTAATTAATCATTTTATTGGGGGCTCTGACAAATCTTACAGCAATCCATAACTCAATTGTATTAAGCACACTTGCCATCATCATTTCCAAAATATTTTCTTTCTACTTGAGCCCTTGGTATCAGCTCCTCTTTCCTCCCCTCCTTCCCCCACCCCATTCCTATAGTTCTTTAATGCTTCCTCCACCCCAGAACCGTGACCCAGTTCTACCTTACAAATCCTGCTAGACCGGCGTATGTGCACTGGTACAGATAAGAGCTCTCGGCGCAGGGAATCCAGGACAGATAAAGCCCCCAGGAACAGCAATGAGAGCAGCGATACCATGAGGGGAGTGGGAAGTGGGAGGAGAAGGGGGGAGAAAGGGGGAACTGATGGAAATGATCAACGTATAACACCTCCCCACCCCACCCTGGGGGACGAATAACAGAAATGTGGGTGAAGGAAAACAGCAGACAGTGTAAGATATGAAAATAATAATAATTTATGAAGGATTCACAAGGGTGGGAGGGAAAAGAGAGGAGCTGATACCAAGGGCTCAAGTAGAAAGAAAATGCTTTGAAAATGATGGTGACAATGTATGCACACATGTGATCGATACAATTGATGTATGGATTGTGATAAGAGCTGTAAGGGCCCCAATAAAGTGATTTAAAAAGGACAGTTACTCATAAGAACATTCTCTGGCTTCTCAGAATCCGCATACGTGTATAGATCCTTTCCTGGAAGGAGGAGGGACCTTTGTCTGCTCTCTGCTGTACAGCAAGAGCCAACGTCAGACTTTTTTGTTCAGTTATCCTTTTCCTCATTTCTGCTAGAACACATCTTTTATAATGATCTAGTAACTCCCTTTCTCCCCTTATTTGGGTTCCACCTGGGGTCCCAGATAATTGGGGGGGGGGAGCTTGAAGAGCCAGTCCACTCTTATTTTATGATGGAAACATAATGTCGTTCAGAGAATGACAGACTTGGTGTAGCTGTAACTTAGTTGGGGATTCTGCATCGCGGTGACCCTGAGCTGACCCCCTTTAAGTTGTCTCGCAGTGTCCTGTGACAGGATCCAGGCATGAATTCTTGCTGGTATTAGCTAAGCCAATGCCCAGACTCTTATCTGAATGGTATGAATCTCCCAGGCTGCCTCCCTCCCCTCACCAGGAGCCAGGACCTGCATACTTGACCTATCTTTTGGAGGTTTAGGGTCCCCACGCATGGGAGCTCTGCCTCGTAACCTCTTTGTTCAAACAAAATGTTGTTTTTCTCAGCTTGTATTGTCATGCCAGCCAAGATTCATGTGTGTGTGTGTGTGTGTGTGGAAGAACTCTTTCCCTCAGCCTGGGTCTAGACACCCTGTGAGAACCGAGTGATGGGGAGTGGGGGACCATTGGGGGACGGATTGCCCCGTCACCTTCCCATGCATGTGAAAAAAAGAAAACAACTTTAAACTCTTTTGAATCTAAAACAAAACAAATCTTTTGAGTCTACCTGGTTTCTGTGATCTGGCCAGGTGACCAGGCATTAAGGGCCCACTCTGTGCCCACCGGACAACAAACCCGCAATTGCTTTAGCATTATAACTCCATTATAATAAAGTTAGAAAAAACAATATACTTTGATTAGCTGTGACGTAGCTAAAAATCATCCACAGCTGTGACCCTAAGCAAAACCTCCCCTAACTTGTCTCAAGAGTATCCTGTGATAGTGTCGAGGTACAAATCCTCATGGGGACCAGCTAAGCCAATGACCCAGTTCTTCATATGAGTATTAAGAATCACTCAGGCGTCCTTCCTCACTCCCCCGGCCCGCCCGCCCCCTCCCCGTTAAAAGCCAGCATCTGCACACCTGACCCGACTCCTGGAGCTTTAGGGTCCCTAAGTAATGGAAGCTCTGTAACGCGGCGATCTTTGTTCAAACAAAACTGTTTTCCCAGCTTGTGCCTGTCGTTCCAAGATGTGTGTCTGTCTGCGAAACAGAACACAACCGCTTCACGCAGCCTCGGTGTACGTATCCGGTGAGAACAAAGAGGCTTAGAGACCGGCATTTGGAGACAGGCTATCTCCTTTCGCTTTTCCCCTGCATGTGAAAATAAAACGTAGAATCTTCCTAATCGACCTGGTTTCTGTAATCCGGCGATGGTGCCCGAGCACTGGGGAGGCGGTCTGCGACATATTGGCCCCCAGGCGAAGGGATGTTTTCTTTTCTTTTAAAAAACCATTTCTTACTGGGGGCTCTTACAGATCTTCTAACAAACCCAGCCATCAATTGGTATCCAGCACCCTTGTCCACAGGTCGCCATCATCCTACAAACATGTTCTTTCTGCTTGAGCCCTTGGTATCGGCTCCTCCGTTTCCCCTCCCTCCCCCACCCTCGTGAACCCTTGATAAATTATGCATTATTATTCATTACTATTATTTTCGTAGCTCACATTGTCCGCCGTTCCCCTTCGCCCTGGTTTCGGTTATTCGTCCCCCTGGGGGTGGGGTGGGGGTGGGTCTGCAGCAGCCTGGCAGTGGGTTCCCCCCTCCCCCTCCTCCCGTCCCGGTATCGCTGCTCCCATCCTGGTCCCCAGGGGTTTATCTGGCCTAGATTCCGTGTGCCGAGAGCTCTTATCTGCCCCGACGCACACACTCCGGTCGAGCCGGATTTGTTAGGTAGAACTGGGTCATGACAGTGGGGGGAGGAAGCGTTGAAGAACCGGGGGGATGTGGCCTGTGTCGTCAGTGCTATAGGGCACCCTGGGCTGAGTCGTCCCTTCCCAGTGACCCTCCGGCGAGGGCATGTCCAATTGTCTACCGATGGGCTTGGGGTCCCCGCCCCGGCCCTCCTCCGACCACCGATGTGACCGCGCGTTGGGGATCTTCGGGTAAGCCGATCCCTGCTCGCCCAGGAGCCTTTTCGGGGAGCCTGCAGGTAAGCGGAGAAACCCCAGCCGGGGCACTTTCCCCGCCTGCCGGGTCGCGGCCGGCGGGGGAGGGGAGCCCCGAGACCTCTGGCCACGGCCCCCGGGCCCCTTAACCCTTGCGGGTGCGGCTGCCGCTCCGCCACCCCTCCCCAAGCGCTTCCACCCGGGACTCGGGATGCTGAGCCTCGGGTCTGGCCGCGCTGCTGCGGAAGGACACCCCTCCGCTGTCTGTCTGTCAAGGTGACACAGAGCCACGGGCCAACCTAGGTAAGCCATCTGCCTCTGGCTCGGTCGGCCTGAGCACCGACAAGAAACGTGCAAATCCGGTTTCTTGGGGGGCTACAGCTGCTTTGTTAGAGGGGTCTCAAGCGCGGGGGGCGGCAGTAGGGCTGTCAGTTCATCCACGGTTGGTGCCAGGTGGGAGAGACCTGCCTGTCGTCTGTGGGCTAGTTTAAGATCGGCCATTTGTTTGGCGACAGGTTTCTTTCCTGGGACCCAGCCACCAGTGGCAGAACTATGTATCTATAGTTCCATATAGATATAGATAGTTCTTTAAATATATATACAGTTCTTGAAATATAGCTAGTTCTTTAAATATATACATAGTTCTTTAACTACATATATATTTGGGGATTTCTCTCCTGCGGTCGGAAGTTTAGTGACTGAGAGATCAGCTTGCCAGCCTTTGGAGAAGTGGTCCTTTGTCTTAAAGCGCCAGCGGTCAGGCTAAGCTTCCCTTTTAGAAGCGAGCCGGGGCCTTGCCCCTTTAAGAGGCGCAGGCTTATCTCACTTTCTCCGTTTAGAACCAGAAAGAAAAAAAGGGGGGAGGGTTGGGGGGAGAGGGGGAGTTCAACCACTTAGTTTGAATTTTACAACCTCACAAACCGTGGGAAGCAGTTTCTGCTTTATCCCAGAGGAGTTAAAACCAACCTGATTACCAACCAAGTGTAAGTCTCAATGTAGAAACTTTAACGAATCTAATTAGGATAGGAAAAAAATTAATTAACCTCGATTGGACGCCATTTCAGTAGTGTCCGGTAGTGCATAAATAGTTTTAAGCTTTCAGAAAGAATCTGCTAATGTTACAATTAAATTAATAAACATTGTGATAATTAAGAATATAGTGAATATATAGATCTGTACACAGATAGATCCACTCAAGAGCTGATTCAGTTTTCTTCATTATAAAGAATGATTGTAAGAGGTATACAAAAACAATTAGCCAAAGAATTCATTGTTAAATGTAACTGAAACTCCACCTGTCTGACTGAAAGTCTCATTAATAATATTAACACAGAATTGAGTTTCAGGCCACAAAGAAAAAGGTTTGCTTATTGCTAGGTTAGCAATCCAATTCATTCTTGGAATGATCTGGCTTCCAGCTGGAGGGTTGATTGGATTTAGCAAACCACATGGTCTCAGCAAGAACTGAAGCTCCAGCCTTCTGGAGTTTGGCCTTGGGAAGGACCACTTGAAACTACCTACCCATGGGGTCATTAAGACATACCGGAGGGCTGTTTGAACATCAAAGGAACCCTGGTGGCATAGTGTTTCCGAGGTGGGTTGTGATTTCCTCCCAGAAAGGCTTTCAGAGTCTCAGAGCATCACAGGGACACTTCTTCTCTGTCCTTTACCGTAGAGGTCTGTATGAGTCCGCTTCAACTGGGCGGCAGTGAGGTCAAGCATCATGTATGTTGGAGATGCTGTTTTGTCTGGATGCTGTAATAAATGTCTAGCTGGTGAGTGTCTTATAATAGGTATGGTTTTAATTGCCAGCTAGTTTCTTTGGGACTTAACGGCTTGCCTCTAGGTTTGATTGGGATTTGCCTTTTGACTCGGTGCCTTTTCAGACTCGTTGATCTTCCTGGGTTTAAAATGTGTGTAGTGCATTGACTTAGTAAGGTGTAACTTTCAAGGTGCGAGACTCCGTGAGAGGCCCAAGGAGGAAACACAATATAACCTGGACTGAGGGGCAGGAGGGAGGACAGAATGATGGCTGGTTATTTGAGTGTGTGCATTTTGTTTTGTTTTGAGAAGGAAAGATAGAATAGTCTTAACCAAAATTTCCAGCAGAAAATAAACGATATTAGACTTATTTTAACACACACACACATACACAACCCCCCCTAATATCTTACATTAAAACCCACAACTCCAGAGAAGAGCCCGCAGCCTGCACACCTCACTCATAGCTGGCGCTCCTAGCGGTGCCTTCTGCTCCAGACTCCTTGCACCTCTTCAGAGCTAAGCAAGGGCCAACCTGACTTAAGCTCTCCAGAGATGACCCAGCAGCTTGACTGTGACCTGGAGACCTTTGAGAACAAAGCAGCATCTACCCTCGCCAACTTTACCAAGTACCTCTCAGCCCTGCAAGGTTTCAGGAAGCCCTGCGCCCAGCCATGCAGGTGGAAGAGCAGGCCAGCAAACAAATCAGCAAGACACAGCCCCGGTGATGACTGCAAATAAATGTGGAAATAATGGAAGTCTCCCACAAACTTTTTGAAGCCCCCTTGTATATCGATCACACAACTTTTGCCTGTTCTGTTAGTTACAGGTTTAAGCCATATTGACAGCAATGACAAGAATATGTTTGCAAGCTAACATTCCATGATCCTTGTCGTTTTTCCATGACCCCTACCCTCCACCCCCACTTTCTCTATACTGACCCTAGGAACCACTAATAAACTTTGATATCTATAACCACCCGCCCCCCCCCCCCCCCCCCACCAACGCTTTGAACTGAATGTCTGCCCATGCCAGGCTGTGAAAAATAGTAGAAGCCGATTGAGGGCATGTAGTGAGTCTCAGAAAGTGAGTGAAAGTACACTTTGCTCGGTTGCAGAAAACGAGAGGAAAGGAAAAGATGGAAAACCTATGTGGTGTTGAGTAAATTTTTCTGGGAATAAAGAGAAAAAAATTACTCGTGGCGTAGAGAAAAGCTGTAAATCGCCGCAAGATAATGCAGGCTTGTACGTTCTAATCACAAATGCAAAGGTTTCTATTCGGTGTGTTTGGCCAATGGAAGTAAAGTTGAGAAAAGATTGCAAATAAATCATCCCAACAATTTCTTCATCATCCAGAAAGTTGTGTTGACTAAAGGTTAGTGGTATTTGCAACTTTAAATGTAACACTTTGAGATGTTTCCTTTTTTAATGGACTTTGCTTAGTTTTCACTAGCCTATGAATTTCCCACTTCTATCTTTTTAAATTACATGTATTTATGTAACTTTTTGTAACTTAACCATAGCCATGTCAAGCTTTGTCATTTATAGATAAACTTTTGCTTTGTAGACCCTCTGAGACCCTTAATTCCTGGAAGACAGTGAACCATATTGGACTTATTAAAAAATATATATCCTAAGTTAAAACCCACAAATCTAAATAAAGATTTCCAGAACTTTGGAAGGTGACAAAATTGCAAATTAGAACTAGTCCAAAATTTGCCAAGAATAAAAGCAAGCTACTAAACACATTCACTGCTTCTATAAGTTCCATATGTAAAACTCTGGTGGCATTTTAAAGCTATCCTCTGTATGTAATAACTATTTTTATTCACTTTTCCTAGATGGTTGATCTCTGAGAGGTTTCAAATATCATGACTTTCAGGGCTCAAACTTCTATTGGCATATTTAATAAATTCATAAAATAATAGAGAAGCTGGTAAAGTTAGCACTACAGGTTGTGAGATAAAACAACAGTAAAAGCTCCTAAGTTCTTTGTTTATACACAACCTGAAGCTTGTCAAAAAAATATTTTATTGGGGGCTCTTACAGCTCTTCTTACCGTCCATACATCAATTCTATCAAGCGAACTTGTACGTAGATTGCCATCATCATTTAAAAAACATTATCTTTTCTATTTGAAGCCTTTGATATCAGCTTTTTATCCCCCTCCCAACCTCGTGAGCCTTTAATAAATTAAAAAAAAATATATATATATATATATTCATATCTTAAACCGTCGCTGTGACCCTTCATGCACATTTCTGTTATTCATCCCCCTGGGGTGGTGGTGGTTACACATCCATCATTGTTATCAGTTCCCCTTCCTCCCCTTCTCCACCCATCTTCCCCAAACCCTCATGCTATCGCTACTTCTGTTACTGTTTCTGCGGGGTTTATCATGTCCTGGATTCTGTGTCGAAGGCGAAGGCTCTTATCTGTACTATTGTAAATATTCCAGTCTAGCCAGATTCTTGAGGTGGAGTCGGGGTTACGGTAGTGGGTGGAGGAAGCATCAAAGACCCAGAGGAATGCTGTGTGTTTCCTTGCTGCTCTCCTGCACCCTGACAACTCGGGATGACCCAATAGTTGCCATTTTCATGTTTGCTTGTTTTGTTTTCTTTTGTGCTGTCTCCGTTCTGAAGACCAATAGCTTCCCCCTTTACTTTGTGTCTAACGTTGATTGTTTTCTGAAACAGTGCTCTGTCATTTAAGTTTTAGATCTGTACAAGTGAACTTTTATGGATTTGAGTCTGAAAAGCTTTACAGGCATTTAGATTCTTTATCATTAACTAGGTTACTATTGTTCTGAAAAATACCAAATGTCCTGCAGAGGTTGATTTACATTATGTCTCCATCTGCCGCTAAAGTGGACCACAACTATATGGATACCTTAGTTGTATGAATGAATCTTGAACTTACACTTGGTCTAAGCCCTAACCTAAGAACAATTTGTTCTCATGATGTGACTGCTCAATACTCACCCCCACCCCGGTGCATGGATCCCTGACGATGTCATTGTATAGCAAAGCGTGGTGAAGAAATCAGATGGTGCCCAGCAATCAAGAAAAAATAGCGTCTGGAGTCTTGAAAGTTTGTCCTAAAACAAGGAGCTATCTAAGTAAAGTGCCAACCAAGTCCACACAGAAGAAGCACAGCAGCCTGTGTGGTCCAAGGATCGGTATTAGTATAATTCACAGGCAGAAAGAAAAATTGTATTTGAGCTCCTCACATTCCGAGTACTTTAAAACGTTTTTACAGTGAAGCACAAGATCTATTGCAAAGTT